TGGTAAACGTTTGGCCGCGAATGACTGACATGCACACACACACACACACACACACACACACACACACACACACACACACACATATATATATATTAAAGTTTCCTTTGTGTCCTTCTTTCTGGGCTTGTGTAACATAGCATACTTGCCTAATATACTTTGTAAGTCTATCTCAATAAACAAATCCTAAACTTTAAACATTGACTCTGATATGGAATCACTATTCCTATCGTAAATTCTAACTAAACGCATATTTCACTACACTGTATCTCCTAATGCATATTCTATCCTTGTACACATACTGCTTGTAGTTGTACAGTGTACACCAAGCATAAATTTAAACCACCTTATACTCTGTACCAAGCGGCAACAAATCATATGGCAATGTCGCTGCCATAGCACTTATAAGTATACATTCTCACACACGTGTTTACATGAATGACCAAAATTAAACATATCCTTTTACACACTTATCAATAAGTTCTCATTATCTAAATAAACTCACTTCTTTGGCCGGAACTAAGCAGTCTACTGCCGCAATGCTAGGCTTACTGGTGTCCCCTTCCCACAGCACAAAACGGTAAAATTCGGGGAAAAACTGGAGAGCTCATTCACCGTGACTTGACGCTGGCAGACACAAAGCGCAAGTACACCCAGGGAATCAAATGGCTTCTCACATACACGTGGTCGAGTCATATCTGCCGCCCGTGCTGTAGTGCAATGGTGTTGTCAAACAAACAACCCCTAACATAATCGCCGTTTAAACCTGCTATAAATCTTAAACACTTCACCGCAGCCAAACCTATAAGTATCCGGCTTTCCTGTCATTCTAATAAACAAATATACCTTATTTTACTCATCTCACAAACAAATAACCATCGCTCTTAAAAAGATCTCCCACACTGAGATTTTAAATCTGATTAAACAAAACAACAACAAAATTTTCGCTCAGCGAAACATATATATTATTATGAGTAGTAGGCTTTCTTCTTTCTCATACATACATACAACCACATACGTACACCGACACATTATAACACGGAATTTTTAATCTATGCATCAGCATTCTCGTTCAACATGAATTCACACGCTGTTGGCTTTCTTCATCCATAATTTTGGTTGCTAGGTTCGTATCGCTAGCCATTCATTTCACGCGATACATTGACATCTATATATATAAATGCTGATCCATATAAGAGTATGTCTCTTATATGGATTAGCGACGTGGACCATGAAGAAGGCCTTGCAGGACCGGCTTGATGGCACATATACTCGGCTTCTGATGAGAGTTCAGAACATCAGCTGGCGGGAACACAAAACAAAAGCAGAGATCTATGGAGACATACCACCCATTTCTACCATTGTAGCTCGTCGCAGAACACCAACTCGCGTCACTGTTTTCGTGCCAAAAACCAAATCATATCTGATGTGATCTGCTTGAGACTGCCTTGCCCAACCAGAGGAAGACGGCCACTGAACTACATTGACTGCATTGCAAGGGATATCCAGCATGACATAGCGGACATGCAGACACTGATGATGGACAAATATTCATGGCATGGCATTGTGAACTCTATCTCGTATGCGTCCGCTGAGTAGTAGTAGTAGTAGTAGTAGTAGTAGTATATAAATGCAAGTTACGGAAATACATTTAACAAGCGCGAGTTAGTTTAATATTGAATTATATACAGTGCAATATAATATAATATAGGCCGTGGCTACGCGTCCGGTCATATATTTCTTATGTGAACCCAACTATATTTTCTCAGTAAAAAACAATAAACAATAAGTTTTTACCATAATATTACTTACCTTTAGGTATTTTAACAAAAAAAGAAGTGTTTTTGTAACTTTTGAAGCAATAGTAAATCCAGTAAAATCAACGATTTGAAAAGGGGCGTCGCTTAATCGTGACTATCAGCTTTTCAAGCCTATCAGCTTCGTAATGGATGACCGGACGCGTAGCCACTGCGTATAATATAATATTGATTCGAAGATGTAAAGTGTCGACCGTTGACCAATCGGAGGCCACACAGCCGGGACATTAAAGCGGGTGCGGATTTTTATGCGTAAATGCGGCGCCCGCGAGTAATTTTTTAGACCGGCTGCCAACGCTGCTAAGTAACTTTTTAATGACGCCATGCATCGCCCAGAGATATATTTTGGCCGTTTGAGGCCGTTACTACTTGAGGCAAACTACAGGATTCTACAAATAATTGAATAGATGACTCGTCTTCCGGGATTTCATATACCCGCGGGAGAGTAAAAAGGGCTTCTAACTGCACGACGGTTACCGTGGCAACGGTATCATGGAACAGCGTCTACTCGGCGTCTATTTTGATGCTAAACTTTTTCGTTTACTGTAACCGTGTTGCTAGATGCAGCTGTGAAGGCTATCCCGCTGCGGGGCGTCAGCCGCCCGTCTTTCAACCCAACATGCAACGTATTTTGCATGCTAGCAGATTGATTCCCAACGCGCCCGCTTCTCAACCCAACATGCGACGTGTTTTGCATGTTAGCGGACTGATCCCCACCGCGCCCGCCCAGGCACAGAACGTGTCTGAAGCCAGCACGAAACTGTCTGTTGGTCACGCCGTAGACGATCGGGTTGGCGCAGCTGTTTACGTGCGTCATAAAGATCGCGAAGAGAAAAAATGGCGCCGGCCAGTCGTAGTTGGGATCGAAGTAGAAGTCAAAGACCATCGGTGTCCAGCTGATTACGAACACGACGAAGATCGTGCAGAGGGTTCGTGCGAGTTCGGTCGACGCCGTAGACGTCTTCGTTTTCGGCTGGACCGCACCTCCAGCTGAGACTTGTAGCGAACAAAGGCAATGTTAACCCGTTCTCGCTACGGTACCGCCGAATAACCGAGTAGCTTCGGGGTAGAATACAAGAAACGTCACTATTGTTATTACCAAAGATTGACGGCGAATAGCAGTATCCGTCTTTTTAACTACTAATGCAATGATTGCAGACATGACTAATGAAATGCGATGCATCATGAAGGCAGGTTAGGCGCATTGCCTTTATCCGAACATAATTTGGTTTGTGCGAGTGGCGGAGTGTACGTTATGTAGGATTTCCTTCTGCGAGACAGAATAAAGTCATAATAAACTCAATTTTATGCGGTTACTGTCCACATCACAGGCACTTTCAAGAGCGTTTCAATAAATTATAATGCTAAATAAATACGAAATCTATTTACTACCAAAGTCTTAATGTTTCTCTACTCTCCTTCGCCTATTATTGCCGACAATTTCCTGTAAATGCCGTGCAAATGCTCCTCTGCAACACACATGTACACCGCACGCACGCTGCCGCACACTGACACACACACATATATATATATATATTAGTAGAGAAACTTGGGTAGTAATTTGGTAGTAAGAGTTTGGGGTACCTGCCCCTTTTAGCTACTAATGCTGAGATTGCAGACATGACTAATGAAATGAGAGGCATCATGAAGGGCATGTTAGGCGGGTTGCCTTTATCCAAACATAATTGAGTTTGTGCGAGAGTACGTTATGTAGGATTTCCTTCTGTGAGACATAATAAAGTAATAATAAACTCAATTTTATGCGGTTACTATCCACAGCAAGAACTGCGCACTCAATTGGAAGGTAGAATTGAATTAAAGGGATTGGGACAATGTCATAGTTGAGATGGCGTCGACGGGCACGCGTACGCGCGAGGAATAACAAGAGACGCAATGACGCGAGAAGTAGTGCCAGTCTAACTGGAAAGTACTTACCCGCTGCTTACTTTTGTGAACGTGGATGAATACCTTCATGTAACAGATGGCTGTCACGGCTACAGGCTAGACAGAGCGCTGCCCACAGGTGGCGGTGTAGCGGACTCGTGTACCAATTCAACAGGTACGACTGCGAACGGGGCTCAAACCAGAAGCTGTTGTCGTAGAAGAACGCCGGCAGATTCATGACGAAGACGGCAAACCAGGTGACAACGACGATGGCGACGCATTTGCTCGACGTGAACACGCGTCCGTAGACGTTGGGGTAGCAAATGGCGAACATACGACTGACACTGATGACCATAAGTGTGAAGAGCGAGGCGTTGCACACGTTCATGCATGCGGCTCCCGTGAACGTGCACAGAATCTTCGACCCTGTCAACACCCCCTGCTTGAGAAATCCTACAGTAAGCAACCCCGGGAAAGGGGGTGTAGATCATTGATCTAGCAGTCATGTATCATTTCAGATGGAAAATTGTGTTTATCTCGTGGGGACTGGAATATATGAATTATTATCGCCGCTTATTCTATGAAAAATTCGTTTGTGGGATTAAAATATAATTTTAACGGACAGTAAATATTGAGTGATACGAAGAATAGAATTCATCACAGATTTAGTGTATGAAATGCTATCACCGTCCTCACATTTACCTCCGTCACAGTCGTCAAAGGAAATACGCGTTCATAACCGTATAAGAACCATACAAGACAGATTTTAGATTCATATAATTATATTATGATTATTATAAGACGGAATAAAGAGCACCGTTACGATTACACTAGATTGGTCAATCGAGAATCACTAGCGAGACACATTGAAAAATGAATTAACGTTAGCAATTATATCCACAACAACATAGCGCGATTAAATTCAAACTGCGCATTAAATTAATTAGGCAAATTTAATGAATATAGGTTTAGTATATGGGTAGCTTACCTGCAATTCCCATAGGTGTGATGTATCCGGTCACCCAAAGATCAGCAATGGCCAGAGCTGCGATAAAGATGTTGCCAGATTTTCGCAGTGGTTTGTACATTAGCACAGCACCCAACATCAGAATGTTGCCGATTTGTATCCGATACCTGTTACATGCACACATACATACATACAGAGATGTTTCCGTGTGTGTGCGCGCGTGCGCGTAAACGCGTTCACACCTAAGCTAAAAAAAACATTGCGTTTAGTTTCACGAGCGATACACATACAATGCGCGCAATAAACACAAGAACACACGTGCCGCGATTCGTGTGTCTTAATCACCAGCGCTCCGCCATTCCGCCGAAATAACCTCTCTTAAATAACACTATGCCTACCCATGTTTCCCTACTAAAGAACTGACACGAAGTTGTACGTACTGCTGGAAAAGATCTGTATGACAATGTAGGCGACCATCTGTCCGAACGGTACCCCTGTCCTCGGCAGGTCGGGCGAGACGTCCGTAGAACTGTTACTGACCGATGTGCTGTTCATCTTAGCTGTGTACCCGCACGCAGATATTTTTCACGGATGCACGAACCACGACCTGCCCGAAGTCTCAACACTCTCACGACTGCTGCGCAGTTAGCAATCTCGACGGTCGCAGCGATGACTGTGACGGCGACGATGACGACGGTGATGACGGACAATGAGCATGGTACGGCAGCAGTTGTAATGCAGGGTTTTTTGTGCGCATGGCCGGTCGTGCTCACGAGCCGAACGTGCGTCTGGCTGCTGTGTGCGCAGGTCGTGGAACAACGCATTAGACATGACAAGGGAAACTCTTAATCGGATTTTACCATGCGTGTGCCCTTCGGCAATGCCTCTGTCTTTTGTAAGCGCGTAAGGTCGAAAGAAACACATCGTCTTGGGTGGCTATGATGACGAGGGACCCGCGCGTTGTTGCTCATATACTTTAGCAATGCGGCAGGGAATGGCGGGTTGCTGCGGCTTTGAGATCGGATTTTACTGTTCAACTGTCTCTCGTCTACGACATTGACTTTGTTAAGCATATAAGATCGGTCGAAAAACATTGCCCTGGGTGGCCAAGGCGACGACCGACCCGAGCGCCATTGCTCGTGTGCTTTATTGTAGTATAGCGAAATTCGGGAAAACTGGGCGCCTCATAATTGTCAAAGTGATTACGTCACCGTAAATAATAAAAGTAAAAAAATATGATGTCCACTTTTTCACAAAATGTAAGTGATTCTGTTCGCTTTTTATGGTTAAATTACTGCATTATACTTCATGTTTTGCTATGACGTTCGATGTGAACAACCCCTCGTGACTCATCCATAGCCCATAGCAAGCATGTCATGATCAATATTATAATCAAACCGCCCAGTTCTTTTGGATTTTTTACTACTTGAAAAACAATCTTATCAGGTAAGAATTTGAGTATACATTTAGTGCCATTAGTACTTACATTTCATACTTAATACTTTTCATGCAAAAAATTGCAAAAAAAATAAAAATTATATACACCATAGAAAATTCGTGACGTAGTCAATTTAAAACAAAATGCCTAAACGATAGCTACGTAGTGATCCATGTCGTGGGCGCTGGGCAAATATTGAGCGTCTGCGATGCAGGAGGATATCAATTACATGATCCTGAAGCCGCCGGCCCACTGAAAAAAGCCTTACTTTCGTAATAATGACCATAAAGGGACTTTTGCAGGATAAAAAGTAGGATAAAAAGTAGGATAAA